GTGTGTAACTAATGAAATTGTGAAACGTGGTCTAGTGAGAAGAAAAATTAACCTCAATGAATGCTAATCCTCCCCTTGCTGCTCAGAAAATGACAAAACGTGATTACTGTACGCTAAACGTGATTACTGTGCGCAGATCGCTAGTAACAGTAACTGAACAACTTACGCAAATATATATGGACGCTTAGGGCAGAAATAAACGGGCAGGGAAGAAACGAATTGAGGGGGCACGGATGTCATCAGAAACATTAGGGTTTAGGTTCACGGACGGCATCCGTTTGTTAAATTATATATTATATATCTAAAATTGTAGGCTTGGTAGGTGTTACTGGATCCTACTGTAGAGGGTACAACCCTTCTTCTTGTATCCCTCTCTCTTCTATTCCATCACTCTCTTCTCTCTCGACATTTTTCCTAGGTTCCTAAAACTCACGCCATTCCATGGCTTCTCCACCTAGCTAGCTTGTCTTAACACCGTATCCATTAGAGGTTTATTTTTGTTCCTTGCCTGCCCAGATTCCGGAAGTAGCACTGTAGGGCCTCCCCGCATTTTGTCGTTTTCTGCCGATAGGGCTACCAGTGTCTTTTCCTTGTTCTTGATAGAGCACAATGAATGTTGTGAGGAATATGAAACTTTACAATGAACCCTGAGTTGACGCACGTGCGACCTGGTGAGCGACACATGATCACAACATACGCCAACACCGCCGACCATAAACGGTTCACAAAAATCCTTGGCGAAAAAATCTCTGGAAACTCCATAGTCCCGTCTCCCCGAGCGTACCGCCATTTATTCCATGTACCCGAAATGTCCCTGGTCGCCCCCCCTGGTGATAAGGGAATAGACCTGTATCACAGAATACATACGGGTCGGTAGACCCCGCAGAGTTCCCGAGGGGTCTACCGGTTCAGAGCTGTTCGCAATGGTGCGGATAAAAAGATGATGTGTTTGAGTTGTGCGTGAAATAAATCGTCTGATGTTGTAGTAGACTAAGTACAAAACTATAAACACGAGCACTTGGCAAATCCTCAAGTGTTGGTCCAGGATCTTTGCTGGAATGGTAGACTAGTAAGACAGCGGAAGTCTTGTAAAATGTAAAGGTCTGAAATAAATCGTATGGTGTTGTAGTAGACTAAGTATAAAACTATAAACACGAACACTTGGCAAATCCTCAAGTATTGGTCCAGGATCTTTGTTGGAATGGTAGACTAGTAAGACAGCGGAAGTCTTGTAAAATATTAAGGTCAAGGTTGAATAACCTGAGTACGTGAACTTGTAAGTAATCAAAGTTAATAATGAAAAGACCTAACAAGGATTTATAGTTCTACGAAAAATACCTATTCGCTAATGTACCTGTTCGTCACTATCGCGCTATGCGCTCTAAACGATATTGAAGAGGTGCGACTGTTCGCGTGACTGAAACGACTGTCCTACGACGAGCGCTATTTGCTGACGTCATTCTACGGACTTATCTTCTACAGTATGATTCGACACTAACTACACTTAATCGACTTACAGAAATGCTAAGTATCAATTATATCACAACACTCCCCTTCATTTCTGGAACGTCGATAGTGTCACTTCTTGAAGATTCCGCAGAGCTTGTTATAGTTCTGAAACTTCTGTCGTGTCAGTTTCTTCGTAAGGAAATCGGCAGCCACTTCGTTGGTCGAACGGTTTTCGGTTCAGGTATTTTACTGTCGTTGTACTGTACTGCGACTGCGAACCCCAGTATCTGTAATCCTGTTTCTATAAAGCGCGGACGTTCTTCGTTTGCACCTGCGAAATTTTCTTCTGGTCCTTCTTCCCCCCCAATTTCGTCAAGTGTAACACGAACTGCTTCGTCGGAGATGACGGGCATCGGCTGTTGTTGGCGATCTCGTTCGTAACTGAGATGAACTTCGCGAACATCATCCTGGTCAGCATCTGCAAGAGGAATGAATTCAGGTATGCCGGTCGAGGTGACAGGTTCGGGAATGTCTGTTGCGGCAGCTTCGGAAGCTTCAGAAACATCCTCGTCCTGTACATCAGCTTCGGCTTCGTCAGTTGCAAATGCACGTGAGCCTTCGAACAGCCTGGCAGGGTTGGCAGCTGCTGCCTGGTGGGCACGAAAAACGGGCAAGGTGAGTCTTTCGTAGAAAGGACAATCACGTGATGGAACGATTTGGTTGGACCGGAGATCCAAAATCTTCCACGCGTGATACTGTTTTTTTATGCCAAGATGTACCCCCCATTTTGCTCGTTCGGAAAAATTTCCGAGTGCTGCAGTTGGAGGACGAAACTGTACAACACACCCGAAAACTCGTAAAAGTTTTGTGCTACCCACTGTACGTGTCCACTGCAGGTGTGGAGAAGAGAACTCGGGCAGGGACGTTGATGAAAGCAGATTGTGTAACAGCACTGCGTGGTCCATCGCATACGGCCAAAAATGCGGTGGAAGGGCTGCCTGCGTCAGCAAAGCACGCATCTTCTCCTGCAGAGTTCTGTTCATCCTTTCTGCTACCCCCATCTGTTGGTGTGCATGAGGCAGTGACTGCTTCCGTTTGATGCCGAGTGTCTGAAGATACTCTGTGAAGATGTTGCTGGTGTAATCCCCTGCACCATCACTCTGAAATTCTTGCAGTTTCACTCCAGACTCTCGTTCAGCGACAGCGAGCCACGCGACGAAGACGGAGTGAGCGAGATGCCACGCAGGTAAGTTTGCTGTCCAGACATAGCGTGTAGACGCTTCGATGAAAGTTATCACATACTTCTCGTCTTTAGGTCCTGCTTCAGATAAGTTGAGTATGTCATTGTAGACATTCTGCATCAATTTATAACGTGTTGAGCCAGGAAAGTGACTTGGAAATGGATCGTGAGTAAGGTTGGCAACCGGACGCGTGGTGCAAACCGTCGGACGAGACTACGGCTTCATCTCCGTGCCATCAGGTAAAAGTAAACTGTTTTTATCAAGAACTGTTGCTCGGATTGAATGATTAAGAATCCCTTGTGATGGGTGTCCTAACCGCTGATGCCATATATCTTCTGTGGCTTTGTGTCCTGATGATCGCAGGTAGAAATCAGAGTTAGTATAAAACGAAGAAAGTATGAAAGGAGAAAGCACTGGTGACTGGTCAATTTCGCCGTCGACGAAACGGTTAAGAGGTAACGGAACATTTGTTGGTGCTGCTGCAGTTATGAGTATATCTTTTGACATTGCTTCTGTTGATGTCGTGACAGGTATTTCGACGACACCTACAGTTGGACTCGGCTGCTCAGCTACTGCTTCCTGTGCGGCTTCTTCAACAACGTCAGGTTCATCAGCTGCAAGACCACTTATTTCTCCCCAAAGTGGTGCTGGAGTTCCTTGGAAGGCTGCGCGGGTATTATAAATGGTTTGCCACGCAGTGGCGCTTTCATCGGCGGTATTGAACTCCCAGGTATCCAACGCGGTAAGTACGACTGCTGCTGTGCGAGAAGCTGTGGTACAGTTGTTGCTCGAAAGTCAATATCCACGTGTTGATAATCTGTTTCTTCGGGATGATCCCAGGGACCAAGTGCAAGGACGCGTTCAGAATCACTAGAAGTTCCTTGTGCTGCGAACTGAAGAACGGATACGCCATGTTGAGTGGCGGCACGACCAAGACAAGTATTCGTCGAACTGTGCTAGAGCTCCTGATCCATCGTGTCACAATTGCCGTGTGTTCGGATCTTGTGTGCCAGAAGCTGAGCCGTAGAAAGAAGATTGAAGCCAAGACCGGCGACGATAAGAACATTAGTAACATGAAGTGAGTATCCCGTGTCGATAGATTCGAGCATGACACTTCCAACTGCTCGTGCCATAATAGTTTGTCCGTTTGCAACTGTTACAGGTATCGGACGACGAAGTGGACGTTGATTGGTAATGAAGCTTGTTTCTGCTGAGCACATGTGCCAACCGCAGCAACTATCGAGATACCAAGTATTCGGACCTGAAATGATTCGAGCAAGGTAAGCATAAACTTGTGGTAAGGGAATTCCTTCCGCACTTGTGGTTTCTTCAAGTCGTGTCTCGAAATCTGTTTCTGAAACATCAACTGTTGTAACACATCCGAAAATTCCTTTTCCTGATGTGGCAGATTCGAAGACCGGCGGGCGGTGCTGAGACGTCGACGGATTCTGCGGCGGTTTCGGCATCTGCTGCTGCTGAGACGTTAACTGCTGCTGTGGCGATTGTGTCTTCGGTAACGGCTGCGATCGATGATACGGCTGCGGAGTACTGCGACGGGTTTGATGACGACTGCGACAGTTTTGGTAAGTATGTCCTGGTTTCTTAGAGAAGTGGCAGAATGGATACTTTGGTGGATGTCGATGCTGATGTTTTGGATTGGAGTAAAAACTCAAGTGTAGTCCCTTTTTCTGATTGCGTTGTGACTGCAGGTCAAGATCTTGATGCTCTGCTTGAAGATAAGAAGAAATTTCGGCTTCGGAGAGATTGGGATTCATGCGCAGGAAGGCGCGCGTCTGTCGCCATTCGGGTCCAAGACCAGCCAGAAGTACCGTGAGATACATCTCACGAGGGAAGTATTCTCCGCTCTTTTCCAGTTGATCTCGTAGTGTACGGACACGGTTAACGTAGTCCATGACGTTTTCGTTTGTCATCATCTGCACACTTGTCAGCTGCGAAAGTATTTTACTCGCTGTTATCATATCCTTTGCCATGTATACCCCTTTCAGATGGTTCCTTGCAGTTTCGGCTGGTGTAAAACTTGAGTGAAATGATCGAACGCCGGGGTTGCTCCTTCGGCGACAAGTTTCGAACAAGAACTGTATATGCCTCGAGAGAGGCGTGTAAGAAACTCTGCTGCTCCAGTTGTGTTCCCACGACAGGATACATAAACTCGCCAGTGAAGAATGGCCATAGCCCAGCGGATTGCGCCAGAAGCTCAAACTCAAAGCTCCAGGAGTAGAAATCAACAACATTAAATGGTACGGTTGTCTTGATCTGAGTATTGTTAAGTAAATTTGGAGGCTGAAAAACAATGCCTGGCTGTTGCTGTTGTTGCTGTTGCTGTTGCTGTTGTTGTTGTTGCTCCTGTTGTTGCTGTTGCTGTTGCTGCTGTTGTTGTTGCTGAGCAGGGGAACGACCGAAGATATTGAAAGGATGCTGAAACTGCTGCGACTGCGGCTGCTGTACGAAAGGTGAGAAAGTGAACGAACCAGTACTTGGACCTGTAGCTCCACGCATGTAACTTGAGCCGTCAAGGCTCATTCCACTGAACGCAGATGAAATTGATTGCGTTGAAACAGGTGGCTGTACTGACGCTTGTTGCTGTGCTATTGTTTGTGATTGTTGCTGTTGCGTCGTAGGTGCAGTCGATGGAGCACCTGGAGTATTCACAGAAGGCGGATTCTGCTGTTGCATACCGATATTAGCATAGGCTGGTGGAAAGTGCCCAGAGGCTGAGAGACCAGCGGCGGTAGTGGAGGCATATGCTCCAGTAGTCCCAGTAACTGATCCAGCAGATGGTGCTGGTGATGAACCAGTCATAGTTGGCGGTAATCTTAATTCCAGATAGCTCTGATACCATTAAATAAATCGTATGGTGTTGTAGTAGACTAAGTTTAAAACTATAAACACGAACACCTGGCAAATCCTCAAGTGTTGGTCCAGGATCTTTGCTGGAATGGTAGACTAGTAAGACAGCGGAAGTCTTGTAAAATATAAAGGTCAAGGTTGAATAACCTGAGTACGTGAACTTATGAGTAATCAAAGTTAATAATCAGGGCTGACGTTTCAAAAAAAGGCACTCTGAGCTAACCCCCCCCCAAAAAAAAAAAAAAGTCTGAAAGGTCTTCAACCAGAATTTAGGGACTCTGAAATGTCAGAGTCCGAAGATGAGCAAGTCTGAAATCCTCAGGATCGCGCAAGTACATTCAGGGTTACTTACTACAACTTACATGTTATTAAGAAGCCTTCTTGTATCTTACATTTTCCTACACTGGATAGGAGCCTACAACTACCGTACTACTACTACCAGTCTACCACCAAGCAATCACTAACTAACAAGCTCCTAGAACTCCGGCGCATCCACTGTAATCTCATCATCACCCCCCTCATTGTCTGACAGGAAAGGGTCGTCGTGTATTCTTGGAGCCGCATCATCCTTATCATCACTCCCATCCTCCTCAGCCCACCCCTCCCCCATGTACTCTGGCACCTCCCCCTGTCGATCACCCGTTGTGTCTCCCGCCACCTCACCCTCCAGGGCCTTTCCCTTGCGCTTACGTTCCGCAGATGCGAAGACAACAGATCGTGTTGGGCGTCTCAGCTTCTCTCGCCAGGTCGCCAGGGCATCGGTCCAAATGATTTCGTACTGCAGCAGCGAGATGGCCATCAACTCAGAGAGGCACGCGTTGCAGAGTGAGCCACGGACCCAGGACTTAATCACGTTCTGTCGAGAGAAGCCGCTCTCGCATTCGACTGTTGACAGAGGCAGCACGGCACAGGCCTGCCACAGGCGCATCATATTGGGCCAGCGCCTGACACGAGATAGAAAAACAAAGGCGGAAGAAAGGCAGTAGGAAATGCATAGAGTAAAGGCGGATAACACAGGGGGTTTAAAGGCGGTCGGCAAGGGCGGCAATGTTGTGCACACTTGACAAGTAGAATGGGAGGTGGTGATTCAGAAACAACAATACCGTTGGACTTGCCTGCTCGAGTCTGTCTTCGTGAGGTAGTTTGCTAGGCCTTGGTGGAAGCTCTCCACCTCGTGATGATTCTGCATGATCGGCGCCCACATTGCGAGCTCCGTCTCCGCTGCCTTTACGTCGAAGCTGGGCAGCTTGTGCTCGAAGATGCCGCTGCATACAGCAGGACAATCGCAGCACCCAACACTTTACACAGGCGTCGGATTGCCTCTCCCCTAGACAACCATCGAACTTGATGGATGCCAAGGTTTGTGCTGTGAATCGCCCGCTGCAGATGCTGGAAACGACTGCTCCATACGCTTGACCGGCCGAGCAGGTCCGCAAGGGTGCGAGTGACCTTGTCGACCATGTCGAGGCTGGACATGAAGCGGCAGCGTCCTTCACAGCAAGTGCTTTTCTGCATGTACCCACACGGGTAGTAGTTAGCACACGGAAACATAAAAAACATAAACAAACAGCAAGGAATAATTTAACAAACCTGTGGGCGATGCAGTGGGAGGAAAAGAGGTGCGGGATGATGTCTCGCAGGCGCGCCACAAGCCCGTTGTCTCGCCCGACCATCACCGACGCGCCGTCTGTGCTGATGCCGACGATGCATTGAAGGTCGATGCCGGACGACTCCAGGTGGACTAGGAGAGTGGCCATGAGAGAAGCGGCGTCGCACTTTTGAACTTCTAGCAGGGCTAGGAATTCGGTGACGACTCGACGCAGCCGCATGAATGTGATGTAGACGATCAGGTGCTTTCCCCGCGTGCGGTTGGTGCTCTCGTCGCATGAGATGCCGAGGTAAGGTGAGCTCTTGATGTGCTCCATCTGAGTAGCCAGCAGATGAGTTGACAGACAGTTCACCATCTGCTGGAACCCATACCTGCAGTGGCATAATCAGAAGTGAAACAGTCGTTAATTAGCATTGCAAATGCATTGAAATTTACATGGCTGATACCAAAATCATACAGTCGACCGACGAAAACAAGGTAGCCTTACCTGGTGAGATACACACCGTACGACTGGAGAGGTATGTCTGGTGTGTCTTGCTCTACCATGAAACGAAGCAGCCTGGGAAACATGGCGATAGGAGCATCGTTCTTGCAAAGAAACTCCACGCACTGCAAAACACGGATGACGCGGCGGCCTTCGACATCGACGGTGGCGAAGCTTGTCATCTTCTGCTGCTTGTCTTCAATCTCCTTCTGAATCTCGAGCTGCCGGCGAACCGCCTCTTCGTGGACTGTCGAGTGTTCATGGATGCGCATCGTCTGTGTCTGGAGATCTCGCCTGCCATCGCCTGGCCTTGAATACTTCGTCGTTTCTTTACCGAAGGCTCGGCAAATGCTGCACTTAAGGGCGGGGTAGCCTTCCTTAGTACGGGTAAGTACAAGCCAGGGGAAATAACGCAGCCAATCATTCTTGTACTTAGCCTCGGCGACTAGGTACTTCTGCTCAATCAACTCCTTTATACTTAGCTTCGGTGGCGGCAATTCATCAGGGCGGGTGACAGGGGGAGGTGAGCGCGGTGGTGAGGGAGGGCGAATCTGGCCACCAAGGTTGATACGCTGCTGCGTATACTTTGTCGTGCGTTGTTTTTTCGCCGAAGAGACAGTAGATGCGCATGGCACACTATAACGAATGGTAGAGGCAGTGGCGCACTGAATAGGATCCACTGGCCCTCTGCTGGAAGATGCTATGGCTGGTGGGAGAATGAAGGGAGCGGGGGCAGGTCTACTAGGCAACGATGGCTCGTCGCACGGTGTCTCGTCAACAGCGGTTGTGGCGACAAGAGGCGAAGGAGCCGATGCGGCAATGGGCCGCAAGCTGTCTAGGGCGCTCCTTGGCGCTACGGCAGGATCCTTACTGCTGCGCGGCTCATCACCGTCAGCAGGAGCATCATCGGCGCCATCCTTTTCAGGCATGGTGAGAGGAGGAACTAAAGAAAGCGACTACAACTTCGCCTTTGTCTCAGACAAATGAACAAATGGAACGATTCCCCCTGTAAAACTTGAAGCAGTGCGTTCAAGGCTGATGGGTAAGGAACGATTGGAGAAGAAGAGGTCCATCAAACCCGTGTCGCACCTTTCTTGAAAGGTCTGCAAGGCTAGCATAGAGGGCACGGGCCCGAGGTTCGCGCATGCACAGAGAGCAACAGAGCAGAATTTGAGGTCCATATTGGCTCAGCATGGCAGCATTTTTGCCGCGCTGGATAGCAAAGTGCCCACTGTGGGCAGAGTATACATTGGACTTGGCGGAATTTTATGCGAAGTGTGGATTCTGCACGTGACGCGGGCGGGAAGCACTGATGGCAGACGAAATTTCTGGGGATCTTGCGTGCCCCATGGAAATCTGTTTCAGGGTTCGTACCCGATGTACTCTGAAAACTCAGTACTAGATTAGCGTGTACTCTGATTTTTTCAGGATCCCCAAAGTCTTAGTCTGAATCAATCAGGATTGAGAAAATGCCTTATCTGGAAATTCATGTTTGGCAAAAAAACCGGTCTGAGATTTCAGACTAATCAGAGTAAATAGTCTGATAAAATCAGCCCTGTTAATAATGAAAAGACCTAACAAGGATTTATAGTTCTACAAAAAATACCTATTCGCTAATGTACCTGTTCGTCACTATCACGCTATGCGCTCTAAACGATATTGAAGAGGTGCGACTGTTCGCGTGACTGAAACGACTGTCCTACGACGAGCGCTATTTGCTGACGTCATTCTACGGACTTATCTTCTACAGTATGATTCGATACCAGGGCTTCAGATTGGATTTTGAGGGGCTGTTGGCTCAGGGTGCCCCCAGAAGGAACCCCCGTTGCAATTTTTTTCAGGGTAAAATTTTTTGAAGGCTGAAAAATCATGACTGAAAATTTTCAGAGCTGAGATGATAGGTTGAACCTTGAAGATTTTTTAGGGTGAGTAGGAATTTAACCTAGCACATTATGTTAGACATGGCATGTTTTGTCAGACAAAAAAACAATAAGCCTGACTCATCAGGTACATTTTTTAGGTTTATGATTCTTAGATCATATCGGACTTCATTGCGTACAAATTCTCACACTAGTGTGATTTTAGCCAAGGACCATTCACGCCCCTCACACCTGCTCGAACTCGCGTCAGACAGCCTGCGTGATTTTGGCGAAGGATCAATCACGCCCCTCACATCTGCTCCAACGCGCGTTACCTGCGTAATTTTGCCTAAGGTCCAGTCACGCCCCTCACATGTGCTCCAGCTCGTGTCAAACTGCCTGCGTGATTTTGGCGAAGGACCAATCACGCCCCTCACATGTGCTCCAGCTTGCGTCACCTGCGTCATTTTGGCTAAGGGAAAGACACGCCCCTCACAGCTGCTCCAGCTCGCCTCGACCAGTCATATAGATTTTTTGTTTCAGGCTGGAAATCCGTTAAGGCTGATAATTCAAGATGACAAAAACAAGAACACACAATATTTCAGGCCTGCTCAAATGACAACCCCTAAAATTCAGGCCTAGGAAAAATCAAAAGCTGAAAAAACAGGACGACCCTAAAAAAACACCCTGATATACAGCATTTCAGGGCATTTTGTCCTGACTTCTGAAGCCCTGTTCGACACTAACTACACTTAATCGACTTACAGAAATGCTAAGTATCAATTGTTGGAAATATCTCAAAGGACTTAAGCGTTTCTGAAGTGTAACACTACACTCGAGGAAGATCACAACGGGTACGCGAGTCAACGGAGGTTACACGAGGGGATGGACAAAGAA